CCTTCTTTGCATGTTCACTTTGTAAACACTGGGTCGGTACTTCTACAGCGATGTAGGACGATTTTGAAGTTGGAGGAGAAAATGAGATGTCATGAACCGGAATGCACAGAGTTCTAGTGATGGCAAGTTCGGGCTGTCACGTGATGAACGAACGACTCGAAAAACCCGAAGACTCGAAACACTAATTCCAGTACAGAACCTATAGCATGTTGTGCATGCGCGACTGAACGAATCACTCCCCGAGACGACTCGTTCTTCCCGAGTCACATTAAAGATTCGTTCAAAATGAATGAATCATTCAAGAACATCCCAACACTACAGAGTTCACGCAGAATTAGACAAGACGAGCGTTTGAGGTTAAAACGTATATAATTTTTATTCTTTTTTAGAAAATGACCGATCGTTTCGCTAGATAAGACCCTTCTTCCTCGTCTGGGATCGTGTAGAACACTTTGAAGCTGCACTGAAGCTGCAATTTGGACCTTCCACCCAGTGAACCCCACTGAAGTCCACTATATAGAGAAAAACCCTGGAATGTTTTCCTCAAAAACCTTAATTTCTTTTCGACTGAAGAAAGAAAGATATGAACATCTTGGATGACATGGGGGTGAGAAAATTATGAGGAAACTTTAATTCAGAAGTGGACTAATCCTTTAAGGTTTAGCTGGTTTTGTGTTCAAAAAGCACTTAAAAGTAGTTTTTTTTATTAAATACATTTTCTATTATTAAATTATTACATTTCTATAATTTTTTATAATTCTATCAGTTCTATTAAAATGAATAATTTCTATTGTTAAATACATCTATAACATCATTGCATATCCACATTGCACTTGCAAAATAAATCTTTTAGTCTGGAAGTTTCAGGTTTCGGTGTTCAGTCAACCGTTGTGTTTTAATCACCAATAGGAGGCTGACGCTGCGGCGGTGAAATCTGACGTGGGGTCTCTGGTCTGGATCGCGTCTGAAGAGAAAGAGAATTGATTAGTTCATCTCTCGAGTCTTTCGAATCATTCGTTCTTTTGTCACGTGATGTGACAGTATTGGATAGAGAAATTAATTAATTTACAAGCCTCCTTACAAACGGGTGCATAGCTATTATTATTATCATCATTATTATAATTATTATTTACTCTTACAGTTAGCTGCACTGAAGCTGCAATTTGGACCTTCCACCCAGTGAACCCCACTGAAGTCCACTATATAGAGAAAAACCCTGGAATGTTTTCCTCAAAAACCTTAATTTCTTTTCGACTGAAGAAAGAAAGATATGAACATCTTGGATGACATGGGGGTGAGAAAATTATGAGGAAACTTTAATTCAGAAGTGGACTAATCCTTTAAGGTTTAGCTGGTTTTGTGTTCAAAAAGCACTTAAAAGTAGTTTTTTTTATTAAATACATTTTCTATTATTAAATTATTACATTTCTATAATTTTTTATAATTCTATCAGTTCTATTAAAATGAATAATTTCTATTGTTAAATACATCTATAACATCATTGCATATCCACATTGCACTTGCAAAATAAATCTTTTAGTCTGGAAGTTTCAGGTTTCGGTGTTCAGTCAACCGTTGTGTTTTAATCACCAATAGGAGGCTGACGCTGCGGCGGTGAAATCTGACGTGGGGTCTCTGGTCTGGATCGCGTCTGAAGAACCACTGAAGGACGTCAGTTTTCTGAGCCCTGAAATACTGAGATTCTGTGGAGACCTTCCCATTTACTGGCATCATCCTGCAAACTCCAGAGGTGTTTCATTGCATTTCCAGTAATAAACCCGCAACACGTGAAGAGCAATGATGAAGTGCAAGTTAATACTATGATAAAGCATTGCTTTTTATATTGTATGATTAATAGTTCAGTATAAGCCATATAATGTCATTCATCAAGCTAACTGGAAACGTTCTGGCAAGGTTCTCTCAAAGTTATGAACAAACATTCTTCCAGTAACGTTAATAGAATGTTTATTCACAGTTATGTGGTCCTTAATAAAGTTCTCAAATGTTAAACGTTCAGCTATACCTTCAACTAACATTTTTTTTTTTAAATGTTACTACTTGTTTCAGAATGTTTAGAGAATATTCAAAAGCAACATTCCCATAATGTTTGCGAAATGGAAGTTCCCTTAACGTTTGCATAAAAAACATTTTTAAAACCTGGACGTATTGAAAGTTCAGAGAACATCCAGGACTTCATGGGAACATTTGCAAAAACATTCTTAGAACATACTGTAACATTTTGGTAGTATAAATCACTCGCATGATGGAAAATAATAACTGGAAATAGACTTTAATAACAAACTCAGAGACACATACCAAACACAATAACCAACGAGAACGGACAGAGACAAAGGGAGAACTAAAGAAAGGAACTAATGAGTTAATTAACGAGGCAACAGGTGAACAGAATGATTAATCAGGCTGAGAAACTAGGTCATGGGGAAAACACAATGAGACCGAAACAAAGCGTACATGTAATACACACTTTTGTTAGCTGAGAATATTTTAAAAGTTTTAGAAATGGTTTTATCTAACGTTAAGAGAACATTAATTTTATTATTTTGCAAACATTATGGGAATGTTAATTTTGAACGTTCTTTGAACATTCTGAAACAATTAAAAACTAGTGCTGTCAAACGATTAATCGTGATTAATCGCGATTAATCGCATCCAAAATAAAAGTTTTTGTTTACATAATATATGTGTGTGTACTGTGTATATTTATTATGTATATATAAATACACACACATACACTATATATTTTGAAAAAAAAATACATGTAAATACATTTATATATTTATATTATTATATCTTATATTATATATAAAGTTAGTCTGCTCTAATGATGTCAGACTAGAGGAAAGTCATCTTATTTAGCCAAACTTCCAGACCTAAGAGTACATGACTGTTTTACAGACAAGCTGGATCATTGACTGCAGGCACCTCTGCCAATTTATAAGCCAGACTTCACAGAAAGCCGTTCCAAGGTGCAGATAACTCTTGTACTTGCACCATTAAAGGCTAACTAAAGATAATTGCATCTGTATATACTGTGAAAGCATTCCCTTTAGCACCGAAACGAATATAGTCTTGATTGCTAAGCTAATCTGCTGTAGTATCACAACATTCCTTGGCGTCAATATGTAGGTCAGGCTAAACGCATTACAGAATCATTTGGGTGATACGGAAATGAGATACTGCACAAAGTTGTGCTGTAGAACAAATACAGTCAAATTATGAGAAAATACTTCCGTTTGTGTATAAAATGAGAAGAGAAATCGTAAAAAGTGCTTGTATTTGCATTAATATTTGCTGTGTGAATCTGATGAGATGAGAGAAAGGGATGTACCAGAGGAGGAAATAGAGAGGCCCATAATGCCACCCTCCAAAAGAAGACCCCCCAACCTCAATAAATAAAAACAGACTAAACCGCATTTGCGGCATAATAAGATGCAGTAATTAATGCCATCGATTCACATCCATAAGGATCCCGACGCGGGGAATCCGATTACTTTTTATCACATTTCAAAACTCCAAGTTAGTTTCAGGAGCCGGTAACTTGGTTAGTGTTGGGCTGAAGCGGGAATGAGACGGCTGCTGAGCTTGATTGATGAGAATGCAGCAGGCAAGCTATTAAAAAACCAGTAGCTTTCATATCCCAGACAATGGCTATAAACATATTCTGAGAGCTGCATCCAAAATGACTCTTTTGGAGAGAGAAAACACTTTCATCGTTGTAAACCTGCGGTTTATGGGATGTTCAATACATGAGTTCACAATATCACCGTCTTTGCTGTCACTCATGTCAATGACAAATATATATTGTGTACGCATAAATTATTCCCGTTGGCCTCTATTATTATTTGGAGATTGGGAATGCTGAGTTCAATGCAAAAGAGTTCAATGTAACAGAAGCATTATGAATGAGCTTGTGATATTTTAATTATTTACCAATCAAATGAGGTTCACATTTAATCGCTTGACAATGATACAGGTTTGTTACAGGCATTATGGGCTTTTTGTAAACAATGTGATTGTATAATTATTGGGAGGGTGCGTAAATTCTGTCTGTATTGTATTATGTATGAAAGGGTGCACTGAAAAACACGGTAATGAGAGATGATGAAACAATGGAGAAAAAAAAGAAAGGGAGAGAGAGGAAAATAATCAGGTTTTAATTCCAGGTGTTTTCTTTTGGTTATATAAGTCCACATTTTCTTTTTGGAGTCTATGAGACACCAGTGCCACTTTTTGATCATGTTGATGTGGACAGAAAAAGAATTGAAAGAGAAAAAAATATTTATTTTAAAGTAGTGCTGTCAAACGATTAAATCGCATCCAAAATAAATGTTTTTGTTTATATAATATATGTATGTGTACTGTGTATATTTATTATGTATATATAAATACACACACATACACTATATATTTTGAAAAAAAAATACATGTAAATACATTTATATATTTATATTATTATATCTTATATTATATATAAATATATTTCATATATAAACAAAATATTTGTCTTTTTTTATATATACATAATAAATATACACAGTACACACTCATATATTATGTAAACAAAAACTTTTATTTTGGATGCGATTAATCACGATTAATTGTTTGACAGCACTATTAAAAACACTTAAAAACGTTTGATGAATGTCCAACTAAAATGTTTAATAAAATGTTTAGAACATTCCATGAATAATATATAAATAATATTTTTGTGCTAACGTTTTGAGAATGTTATTAAAGGCCAAACACCCAGAATATGTTCTTTAAGTTGGAACATTCCATTAAGTTATGAAAACATTATTTCAGAATGTTTTTGTTGGCTATATGAACGTTAAGGGAATGTTCCATTTTATTATTGCAAACATATGGAAACATTACTTTTGAATGTTCTCTGAACGTTCTGAAACAAGTAATAACATGCAAAGGTTAGCAAAACAGCATTAATGAAACATTCCATTTTAACCTTTACAAACATTATTGGAACATTTTCGAATGTTGAATGTTTTGAAAAGTAGCTAGTAGTAAAGTTTAGAAAACATTAGACAAATGTCCAACGTAAACGTTTCAGAAAAAATTTTACCGTTCCATGAACAATGTATAAATAACGTTTTTGTCCAAGCATTATTAAAGACCAGATAACGTTGAATGAGCGTTGTATTAACATTACTGGAAGAATGTTTGTTTGTGACTTTAAGAGAACCTTGCCAGAACGTTCTGAGAATGTTTCCTGTTAGCTGAGTTCATACAGCACATGAACATGTTTTTTTAGATACAAATACATACATTTTATTGATCCCAGGTGGGATATTTAATGCAAAACAGATCCACATTCGATGGCCATTACACACTGACCGTGACATTTGTGAATGAGGCAGTGATTATCATCTAAAGCTCAGAAATGCCTCGCTCAGAAATGCTGCTTATCTTCACTCTCGCTCTCTGCTGGCTGTTTCTGAAGCATTGAGGAAGAGGAGAAGTGTGACGCGACTGAGACGGCAGAGTACAGGTGGATTAAATCGACAACAGGCGAGACGTCGAAACTCCACGAGTTCAGCCAGAGAAGATGAGCGGCCGACGGGGCCCGATTATAACCCTGAAAACCCTTATCATGTGAGCAATGCCTTCATTATTAAAGTCATGCATAAACATGCTATAAATATACACACACTACCAGTCAAAAGTTTGGAACAATTCAGATTCTTCTTCTCACCAACACTCTTAAAAATTACAGGGGTTTCACGATGCCATAGAAGAACCTTTTTTGTCTAAATGGTTCCATAAAAAACCTTTAACATCCGAAGAACCTTTCTGTTTCATAAAAGCTTCTTTGTGGCGAAAGAAAGTTCTTCAGATTATAAAAAGTAAGAAAGAGATGGTTCTTTGAAGAACCTTCGACTGAATGGTTCTTTGTGGAACCAAAAATGGTTCTTCTATGGCATCGCTGTGAAGAACCTTTTAAGCACCTTTATTTTTAAGAGTGAAGGCTGCCTTTATTTGATCAAAAATGCAGTAAAAACAGTAAAAACAGTAATATTGTGAAGTATTATTATAATTTAAAAGAACTTTTTTCTATTTTAATATAACCATTTTTGCTGCTTTTAATATAACAATTGTTAACATTTTTTATCTATTTAATATTATTTTAATTAATTAAATTATTACCATTTTTGCTACTTAATATTTTGTGGAAATCGCAAGTTGAATTGACCAAAAGTGGCACTTTCTTGTCAGTTCTTTTGAACTTTCTATTCATCAAAGAATCCTGAAAAACAAAATGTATCACCGTTTCCATTAAAATATTGGGCAGCACAACTGTTTTCAACATTGATAATAATCAGAAATGTTTGTTGAGCAGCAAATCAGCATATTAGACTGATTTCTGAAGATCACGTGACACTGAAGACTGGAGTAATGATGCTGAAAATACAGCTGCGCATCACAGAAATAAATTACATTTTAACATAGATTCACATAGAAAACAGCTATTTTAAATTGTTATAATATTTCAGAATATTCCTGTATTTTTGTAATAATATTTCACAATTTTACAGTATTTTTAATCAAATAAATGCAGCCTTGATGAGCTTTCGAAAACATAAAGAATACTGACTCCAACCTTTTGCACAGTACAAACTACAGCACAAGACTAACATATAATCGTACAAAGAAATAATAGGTTTTTAAAACAGGCACCAAGTGAACCAGAATTGCTGCCCCACTGAAATAATTTCACAGCGCTCTGCTCACCATCTCTTTTCTCTTCTCTCTCCAGCGGAATCAGGAGGGTTCAGAGGGGCACATGGTGTTCGATCCCATGCTGGACCATCGTGGCATTTGCTGCACAGAATGTCATCGCAGTTACACCCATTGCGAGCGGGTTTGTGAGCCTCACGGGGGCTACTGGCCGTGGCCTTACAACTACCACGGCTGTCGGCCGGTTTGCAGGGTCATCATGCCTTGCCGCTGGTGGGCGGCTCGCGTGCTGGGTCTTGTGTAAGCTCTCGTGTCTCTGCTGGTCACCAGCTGAAGGCACAGTAGATTTGCCCTTAAGGTCCAACTGAAGTATAATGAGGCCTTTTCAACAAAAGTAAACCTCCAATGTAAATGGAAGAAAAGTCAGACATGGATATACACAAACTTTAACCTAGCAATAGTTGAAAAATATAGCTTTGAATAACAGGCACGTGTTTTTAGGACTATTAAAATATGCTTTTTGAATTGTACACACTTGAATGTGCAGTGTTTTATTTCTGAGCCACTAGAGGAACCAAGCAAAACTGCGATTGGAAATCCAGTGGAAGAGGTTTGATTATTTTTGCAATTTCTGTTTGGTCGCAAGCGGCAAAGGAAAACAACAGCTTTACATGCAAATAAATATTAAAATGCAAACTGTATAATACATGCAGTAAAATATATTTTGAGACATGCATTGATTCAAGTTCAAAATCATAGCTGACGGATATGGGTTTTGCAATGTTGGAAAATAAAGTATTTTCAACAAAAGTACGGTGTTTGATTGGTACAGTCATTATTTTTGCAATTCTGTTTGGTATTGCAAATCACATCCTTCAGTTTTACATGAAGAACTGCATGAAAATAAATATTTGCATTGCATTTATTCAAATGCAAACTGTAACATACATTTCCACAGCCTCCCGGCAATTAACAAATACTGAGTTGGATGAACCTAATATCATCTTGTGTCTAAGAGTTGCAACCTAATTTCACAAAATCCTCTTCATAGGCATTAATAACTCATTAAGCTTAGGCTTGGTTTGCCTGTAATCATTTGGCTAATCCATGAATTTACCCACTGGGATATTAAATGGTATGTAGTACAGCAAGATTTAAATGAACTACACCTTAAAAAAAGAGAAAAGCAAACACCTTCTGAGCTATTCTTAAATGGTTTTAGTGTATTTTGATGTCAACTTTCTTCCCACAGTATACTTTCAGGTTTGAAATGAAGAGCACATCACTTAGTTTTAGGCATATGAGGTTCAGAAGAACGCGGCCACAGTGAAAATCTGGGATGTTTTCTTTTCCATTTCAATTTAAGAATAAAAAATTGGGGATTTTAGAAAATGTAAAAGAAAAAAAATGCAAAATGAAGTAGCACTATATCAGATTGTGCTCTACTTTCCAAGTAAACGAGTGGCATTGTTCATGCATTTTTTGTACAGTCAGATTTTCATGTGTCACTCAAATTGTGATGCTGACAATAAATTGTAATGAAAATGCACTAAAGCAGAGGCATTTCACTCTTTTGGATCCCACGGCATATCTGTGGAGAGAAGTTTCTGTCTTTCTCTCGCTGCATCTTCATCATCTTAAACTAACATGAGTCCTGTGCCTACAGTGACTGCAAAAGTCATCTAAATAAAATATGATATTTCAAATATGAAAACGACCTTATCCACTTCAGTAATTTGAAGGCTGTCTGGTCTGTCTTCATTTATTTATTTATTATTCATTATTTATTGTTTTTTCCACAAACAGGCAGGACACAAAGTTCCAAAAGCAGCAAGAGCGATTTAGATTTAATGATGTATGAAGCACATTTCAAAGACGCTTTTTGCGCCCGTAACGCTGTTTTCGCACGATCACGCTAATGAGGAGAAATTCTCATCACGGGATGCTTTTTAGAGAATGCTCTTCTGTGATAGCAGTTCATGTTTCAGTCACACCGCTGTTGTCTCAGTGGGGAAACATGAGCAGCTCTACAGGAAATCAAATTGACTTTGGCATGTAGTGTCTACGAATGTCCATGTCAGAAGTGAGCAAACTCACACTGCCTTGAGCAAATGTTCAGACATTTTAGCATTATGCTTAGACAGGACATTTTTCTCTCTCTCAAAGGAGTTGGGGTTTATGGGTAGCTCTATTTTTTTATGCAATAACAGTTATTTTTACAATGTGCATTGACTGTATCCTATAGTGACAAGTTCATGACCTATTCAAAATCATTGACAAATATGGGTTTTGCAACGTTTACACCCACACCGATAACTACATGCAGTATGTGATATAAGCTCATAGAAAGACAATTCGATAGGCTAGCCTACAGTGTTGCAAACTGTTAAGGCGCAGTCACATTTACTGTTTTTCTGCGAATTTTCGTGGGCGCCCACATGAGAAAATACTATAGTAATTTGTAGTAAATACTATAGTGTTTTTGAACCATATTGTATTATACTGTATATATTATAGTATTTACAACACTTTGTTAACGAATGCTACAGCATACTGTAGGTTAACTATAGTGAACTGATAAACTGTAATAAATACTGTAGTATACTTTAGTTTTTACTACAGTAAACTGTAGTGTATTGTAGTATAATATACCCTATAGTTGTAGAAAACTTAGTACAGTATTGGGTAAAGTCATTTGTTTATATTACTATAGTTACTACAGCAACTATAGAATTACCACAACAAATTAATTCAAGTACTTTATTATAGTATGGTTCAAAAAAACTATAGTATTTACTATAAATTACTATAGTATTTTTTCATGTGATCCAGTACTTTAACTATCATCATCGCGAACAGGAATTTCGCGTGAATTGTGAAAGATTTCCTCACATAAATTTCGCAACTGCTTGCTTTTAATTTAGTGAGCTTTCCGAACACTGCAACATGAAGCTGTGAAACATTTGCGCATAATTAGTTTCGAACCAATGATTTGGGGCGCGTATCGAACTTGCCAAGTCACGTGATTTCAGCAAACAAGGCTTCGTTGCGATTCGATTCGAACCTTGGTGTCGAAACATTTCGAAAGGCCCACATTTCAGAACGCCCCTAAATTGATCTGTTGAACATGTTATATGTCTATGGTTAAACTGATAAACGCGCGTCGGGTAGTTTTAACTATTATCTCGGGTCAGTTTCGAAATGTAGGTTCATTGTTGATTCATTTAAAACTTAATGTTAGTACTTGTGTGTGTATAATACAGAAAGGAGAATATTTAATTGCTAATTGATATTGTTTGGCACATTAATAAAATTACACTATTTTAGCCTACAGGTTTTTACCAGCAGGTGCTACTCGTCTGCGGCATTTCGAGTGCTTCAAAACAGTGAATCATTTTGCGAAGCAGTTGATTCCAAGTTTTGAAAAGCTTTGTTTCAGTACTTTTGAGTAACCATTAGTACTTTAAAGTTATTTCTGTGTGAGCTGTGCCTGTGCTTCATACATCGCTACAGTATTAGCCTAATAATACCAAATTTCGCTACTGTGACCGCACCTATAATTTAGGTCCTCGAATCTGATTGGTCGACTAGCTGCGTCCAACAATTTACAGAGATACATCATTGCATTCAACCGATTTGTTCAAAACACTATATTCATGAGACGACCATTTACAGCCCTGAATGTCAGCGGAGACCATGTCAACTAGACGGCCATCGGGACAAGACCTCGGGAACCAGTTGAGTCCTCTGCACAATCTGACTTTGCTGCAGCCTGGAATTGAACTGCTGGTTTCGTCTGGACCCCCGACTGGGCCTGGTTTCTCACAAGGTTTTTTCTCACCGATGGAGTTGTGGTTCCTTGCCGCTGTCGCCTCAGCTTGCTTAGTTAGGGACACTTAATTTCCAGCGATATCGTTGACTTGATTGCACAGATACTATTTAAACTGAACTGCGCTGGATGATGACATCATTGAATTCAATGATGAACTGACTTTAACTAAAAATTTAATTTACTATTGTCCTTTTGCATACATGAATAAATTGATATTTAAAACGAATCAGTTGAATCACTCGTTCACTCATTGATTCACTCAGGAATGAAACACACTAGTCTTGTTGCTCAGAGATGCGAAACGGTCTCATTCAAGCGATTAGCTTCATAGCTATCATTTAACAACCTCTTTCTCCTCACATAATGAAATCATCCACACTCAAATCGATATTTCATGTCTATTTATTAATATGTACAGTCAGGTTGACACGAGAGCCCTCCGCATCATGTCAAGGTCCTTTATTTAGCGGTAACGATCGGATGACTGTATGATCACATATTATGTGTCTAGCACTTCTTTTCTATAGAACCGTGAATGTAGACAACAGGGATGTTATCTGCTCGCTCAGTGTGCGGAATAAAATGAGAAATCTGCCCTGCTTTTCACCGGCCAATGATGATTACCGCGCTTTCATAGCTGATATGACAGTCTTTCTGTAGGCTATATAATATTAATCCAGCACCCACGCTTGCCAGACGCACTTAAAGCAAGGTGACAAGCGTGACATATCCAGGACCTCCTGATGATTCGTGCTCCAGCTCGTGGACATTAACGGAGCCCCGCGGAGCATTTTTGAGTGCCCTGAAGTGGCTCAAATTTGCTGGGAGGGGGATCGGTGGGGAGGACACACATCTCCACCTCTGCACTTCCACTGTCACGGTCATTAAAAGAAAATGAGAGGATGTGAGAGGTTTTCTTACCTGACAGTGATTGTGGGAGTGCGAGGTGTCATCAGAGATCCTCATTCATGTCTGTCTGGGCTAGAAAAGAAGAAGAGCACTAATGGGTGATGGATAATTGCTTCTGCTAATGGTCTCGCAATGTGCATGCACAAATAAGTGTTAGATTACATAAACAATGGGTGGAAAATAAGATGAAATCATTCGCATCTTCGTTGCGGCCTCACTCTATTATTTAGACCCTGCTTCAATATCTAGTGAAATGTCTTGCTGTTTAATGCCTATATAGCCAGCTGCCTTCTGAGACAGCATCCTAACTAACATGAAACCTCATTAGGGATCAGTCTAGAGAGAAACTGCTCATGCAAAATGCACAGGAGACTTGACTAATATAATAATAATAATTACTTAGATTTTTTGTTGCAAAATACTTTGAAATTTACTTTGCATCTTAAAGCGTCATATGATGCGATCAGCTAAATTCAAATCTGCGTTCGCTGGCTGGCACAGAGCCAGAGGTACACAAGTTTTTAAAGCATTGCGCATTATAACCAATCCCATACTATTATGTTGAGTTTATAAATACAAAGACCAATCAGAGGCGTTCAGATAAGTCACCGCTGAAGACATCTAGATTGCAGCGATACATGACATGGTGAAAAATGACTGAATGAATAATAGGCTACTTAAAGTAGTTTAAGATGAATTTTAAAATTGTGCCCCCTAAAAGCACTAGTGGCCCCTGTCTGGCCCCCCTAGTTACTGTGGTCTAGAACCGCCCCTGACAAATGCCTCGTTTATAATGGGTTTTCATGTTTTTGTCTCTTCAATCCGGCAGGACAAGGCATCACAGTATGGTGAGGGGCGTAACATTTCCGTCACACGCTTGAGGTATTCGGCCAATCACAACGCACTGGATAGCTGGCCAATCAGAGCACATCTCGCTTTTCAGACCGGTGAGCTTTGTATAAATCGACGCGTTTCAGAAAGGCGGGGCATAGAGGAGAAACAATAATGTACAGTATGTGGAAAATA